GATCCAGAGCCCTGGGGGATCAGGTTGTCCTGGTTGGACAAGGCAGAAGCTGCTGGGGTTAAAGCCATCCCACTTCCACTGGGTTGGAGCCCAGGGCAGTTCATGTCTTCTGCCTCCCCACAGGACCCACGGAAGACTAGAAGGTCCTAGGGACAGGAGCAGGGCAAAGAGGTCTGACTCCCCCATTTACTCTGATCCTCGGAGGTTTCACCCTTGTTCTTGTTCTCCTCCCCTGTCCTGCCTGATCCTGACCCCTCAGGAGATGGACATGGCCCTCAGAAGCCAGTCCTTCAGGAATCTGATCCCACCTCCGTGATCCCCAGATTCTCTGCCCTGTGGAGGTACCACCCACCCGCGCTGACTCTAAAGGCTGGCCCCACCCCTTTCAGAATCCTTGCCCACACGACCCCCTTGTCCCGCCCCTACTTTTCAGGATCCCAAGCCCTACCCATCATTCCTCCTGTCCTTTTAACATCACCTGGTCCTGGCCTCTGATACTCGCCTGGGAATGGAGATAAGGATGTGGGCATATTTGTGGACTGATCTCCATCTCCACTGCTCCTCCTTGGGAATACTGAGACTTGAATAGCCTTGGAGAACTGTGCCTGTTTCCTCTCAGCAATGCCACTTACTAGTTTAGTGGACTTGGGAGCTCACACTACCTCTCTGTGCCTTGATTTCCTCCTCTATAAAATGGGACTAGTGATCTCCACCTCATAGGGTTGTTAGAGGAAGCAGTGATATAATGCACATAAAGGACTCTGCTTGGAGCCTGGCACATGGTTAGCACCCCAAAGTTAATGGCTTTCCCTATTCCTTGAGAGCCACTTCCTCAGACCTGGTCCTGCTGTATTGTTTCCCATTTTTATTTAGGATGTGGGTCAACTCACGAGGTGGTATGTGTAGTAACTTAGAGTATAGATTCTGCAGCCAAACTGCCCAGCTGGGATGCCCCCAGCTCTGCCACTTTACCATCTGTCCAGCCTGGGCAAGTTACTTAATCTCTGCACCTCAGTTTCCTTAGCTGTAATGTAAGAATGATACTAGTACTTAAAGCAGTGCCCAGCACTCATGGTGAACTAGCTAGTGCAACAGTGCTTGTCTTTCCATGTGGACAAGTCTCAGGAGCCACTGAGGAAGTCCTCTGACCAGAGGAGTGCCAGCTTATTCTTAACAGAGGGGTTCTTGAGGAAATTCCCCACTTGGGAGTCCTGCTCCGTTGTGAGACTGTTATTTCCAAGATTTTTCTGGCTGTTTCTGAGTTTCCCGGAGGCCAGAAAAGGGGAGCCTGGGGGTGGGGGCTTACCGAGAAATCAAACATGAGCTGATGAAAATATGATCAAAACCGTATGGGGCTGGCTCTTACCAAACACTTACCCATGCAACAGAGGCAGTCCCAATGTCTTGAGAACTGGATGTGCTCCAGGTATGAGTTGGGTGGGGCAACGTGGGAAAGGACCATTTTCAGTTACATTTTTTGTTAATCAAATGAGTTCTGGGGCTTGTTCTGTGCCAGCCCAAGAGCGGAGCAGTGTTGGCAGTGGAGATGAACAGGTCCAATCCCATTCTCTGAGAACTCTATCAATAGACAGGACAGGGAGCTTGTTGTCCATCCTGTAGATGGGAGCTGGGAGCTCTCTGAGCAGGATGTCAGGTCCCTTTAGGGAGATGTTGGCTGCTTAGGCCTTCAGGGTAGAGAGTTTTCACTCAGCTGTTGGCCTTAAACCGGTAGCAGGCGCTGTATGCCCTAGACAGGAAGGTGTCTTCTCAGAGGCAGGCAGCAAGGCCCCTGTATTCTGGCTGGGGAGCCAGAAGTCCATACTGTCCCTTGGAGAAGGTGGCAGCCTCATCATTGTCGGGTAGGCAGGTCGGCTTCTGGCCTGCGAGAACTCAGGATGGTGACACAACCCTTGTCAGTAAATCATAGTAAAACAGGGAGCGGGTGTGATTAGATAAAGTCACAGTGCTGAGAATGTTTGAGTGGGTAGGGACAAGTCACAGATTGCTGGGCTAAGCCCTCATGTATCTGGCAGGGAGATAAGAGGCTAGGACCCAGTGCCCAGGAGGAGTTGGTGGCTGGGGACGGGAAGGCACGGGCTGGAGAAGGGGTAGGGAGGGCTGTATGCCTGCTCTCTATGGTACTCGGGTGTCCACCCCCTCAGACTTTCTTGAAATTCTTTATTCCCCAGGCCTCCAGGGTCTGGCCAGAGGCTGTTCGATCCAAGCCCCTTCACTAGCTCCTGAATTATCTTCTCTCTTCTTGAGTCTCAGTTCTTGCTTTGTTCCCAGAGGGTGGTCCCTGAGGCCCCAAGAAGTAGGGACATTTCTGAAGGTGCATGACTTTGGGGGAGCCTGTGTGAATGTTGGGGGTTTAGACCCAAAGATTCATGAGTCAAATCTTTGGAGGGACTCTTAAAAATTAAGCACCTCTCCCCGTACACCTGACTGATGGGGAACTAAGGTTTTGGAGATGGGGAGTAAGGAAGAGACTTGCCTGGAGTGGCACAGTGAAGTGCCGAAGGAGGGCTGAGGGCTGGGCACTGAGCTCAGGACTTGTTCCTGTAACCCCCTCAGCGGCGTGGCAGGGAGGTAGCGTCCAGGGCCTCTGTCATAGTAACATCTTCCTCAGGGCTCCTGCCCTCACTCCCCTACTCTATCTGGGGTTTTCCCCCAAGAGTCCGAAGGGAGGTTTTCTGTCTTCCTCTGTGGCAGGCTGACTTCCACTTGGCTTCCCTGGGAACTGAGAAGGAGTTGAAGCAATGTGTCCCTCACACCTGTGTTTGTCCTCTGCCTGCTGGGGCACAGAGCACGGGATCTAAAAGGTGTCTGTAGCTGGGCCCCCGGGGGCTCCATGGTTGGCTGCCTTAATGGATGGATGAGTAGATGGGTGGAGGAGCGGATGGATGGATGGCAGTCTAATGGGTGCAGAGATGGCCAAATGGATGGGTGCACAGGTGCACGAGTTGGATGGCTCATTTCCTCCAGGCAGCAGGGCCACACTTCCCAGCTGTAACAGTTGTTCTTGCATCCCACCCACTCCTGGGGCTCTAGGAGATGGGATATCTGAGATTTTGAATACCTTACTTCTGGGAGCAGAGGGGAGAAGGAAGCTGCTATGCACTCAGCTCCGTGAGGAGGGGCTGGCACAATCCCCTCACCACTGCTCCCCTTCCCAGACTGCCCAGGCCTGGCTTTGTTATCAGATGAGGTATAGCCGGTAAGTGATGACCCACCCCTTCCCAGGTAACAATGCTCAGTCCGCTGTCGTAGCTGTCATCCAACCCCAGTGCCACAGTCTTGCTGCTTTCAGTGGGACAAGCCCTTAGAGGCCCAAGTGGGAGACCAGCAGCTTCCCCAGGGGACTTCCCAGGCGTGAGGAGTTCACTCCTTCCAGAGCAGCCCTGTGGTATGCTCCAGGCATCACAGCGCTTTCATCTCCCGAAGAGGAGACTCCTTCTCTGTAACTCCCTGATCTTTGTGTTGCCTTGGCCCAGGTGCCCTGGGGGCTGCAGGGCTGGTGGTGGGTTCCTCCAGGCTAAATCTCCCTAGCTCCCTGGCCGCTCCTTCTTCCACCCTCTGGGCCCTCTTCCACTCTGCCTTCTGGCTCCCAGGTCTATCTGTCAGTATCCCTGACAAGTGTGGCCCCAGGATTGCTCAGATGGGGCTGGACCTGGCCCAGCCTCCCTGACTGAGAGAGGAAGGCTAGCCCGAAGGTCAGATTCTGTGTGGACAGATGGGCCCTCACCGCTGGCTATTGAGCCTTTCCTCACATATGTACTCATTTTCTATTTCTTAAAAAATATTTTATTTATTTGTTTATTTGACAGAGGGAGACACAGCGAAAGAGGGAACACAAGCAGGGGGAGTGGGAGAGGGAGAAGCAGGCTTCCCGCCGAGCAGGGAGCCTGATGTGGGGCTCGATCCCAGGACCCTGGGATCATGACCTGAGCCGAAGGCAGACGCTTAACGACTGAGCCACCGAGGCGCCCCCTGTACTCATTTTCTAGACAAATATTTATTGAGTGACTACTTTGTGCCAGGCAGTGAGACCACCAGGGAGACAGTGGAAACCAAAATAGACGTGATTCCTCTTGAGGAAGGCTGACAAACTATCAGTTATAACCCAGTGTGATGAGAGCTGCAAGGGGAGAGGGGCAAGGGCCCTGGGAGCTTGGGAGGGAGGGAGGCTACTTAATCTAGCCTTGAGTCAGGGGGGGCTTCCTGGAGAAAGAGTCATCAAGACCCAGATGGGAAGGCAGGTGAGCTGGTGAGAGAAGAGTGTTCCAGACAGAGGGAATGGCGGGGGTGGATGGGTACTTTCCCTGCTCCCGGCAGCAGAGCTGGGCCTCTTCTTGCCCCCAGCCAGGAAAGCTGGTTCTTGACAACTCCCTTCCCCCTGGTGACACCTGATCCCTGAGACACCTGGATACTTTGCCTTGGAGAAGAAAGACTGGGAGGCGTGAAAGAGTTTGGCTCAATCAGAGAACAGGCACAGGTTTGGTGTCGCTGAACCGTGGAGAGTGAGTGGGCTGTGAGGGGACCAGGTGGGGCTCTGATGATGGGAATTGGTCCCGAGAACTCAGGGCGTTAAGGAGGGGTCCGTGAGGAGGTTGCTCAGGTTGCAGAGGGAAAATGAGATCTGTCATTCCATCTCCCCATTTCCTATTCTGGTCCTCCCGGACAGACAACAAACAGCAGACAGACAGATCCGTGGGTACCAGTTGGGCTTTATTGGAAGCACTGTGGTCTGGGTGTGGAGGAGAAGCTGCACTCCTGCTACGCCACACTCACCCCTGCTCACACTCACACTCACACTGACGCTCCAGGCCCTGTCCCGGCTGGGGTCAGTTCTGGTGCAGAGCCACTGGAGGCCTGGTCCTCCCTTTTTTTTGTTTGTTTATTTGTTTTCTGGTCCTCCCTTCTGATCCTTGGTTCCCCAGGGCTGCAGTGAGTCACATCCCTTCACTCAGATGCAGGGCTCCCTCCGGGGCTGTCAGGGGCTAACTGCCGTGGCGCTTGTTCTAGGGGAGGAAGGAGAGGCAGGGTCATGGGTTGGGGTCTTGGGCAGGGGCTCTGAGGGAGGAGGCAGGGCTGGGGAGGGCCGGGCTTGCCTTTGCAGAGTTCTTCTGCAGTCTCCGGATGATGCGGTCCACCCAGGGCTGGTCTGGAGGTGCACAGAGCTGGTGACCCCTCAGTGTGGTGAACCTGGAGTCAGAGGTCAGAGAGAATGTAGCCCTGGAACCCAGCCTCCTGGCAGGCTCTTGGTATGAGGGGCAGAAGCTGGGGACCACATCTGGGAGCCTGTTTCAGGGGCTTCCTTGAAGAGGCTGGGCTTGGCAAGGAGAAGGCAGATAGGAAGGTGGGGTATCACCGGTGGCTGCTGGCAGACATGAGACTAGACGAGCTCCTCCCCACAACTCACACAACGGCAGGCACTCTACAGCCGTCCTTGATGAGGAGGTGGCGAAAGGCTCTGACGATGTTCCCTGGGATGGGGCGCTGGGTTACAGACAGGCAGCAGTCTTCAGCGTCATTGGCACCACCCAGAGCTGGGGTGCGGGTGGGAGAAAGAAGGTAGTGTCAGGACACAGGGACCCTAACTCCGTGTCCCTCACATCCAGCGCCAAGGAGTCTGAGATTTAGACACCCCCTCCCCCATGCCCACCATAAGCCTTCCCTCAGCCTTACCCGGGGAGGTCCAGAGAATCAGCAGGCTGAGGGCCAGTATTGCAGCTGCTTGGGATGCCATGGACGGCAGACGGAGCAGACCAACCGTGAGACAGTGAGCACGGGGAAATCTCTGGGTGTGGGGCCGGAGTCCTGTGAGGCTGAAACTTGGCTGGCAGTGGGAGGGAGCAATGGGAAGCACACAGGCGTCCTTGTGGGCTGTGAGGGGGTCTGGGAATGTGTGTGAAAGCCTGTGTGAGGCTGCAACTGCCTCTTATTTATGGCTCAGAACTTTCACTTTCCCTGCTCAGAAATTCCCCTCCACTTCCATTCCGTGGATTCCCCTTTGTCCCCCTCTTTCTGACGGAACCTGCCCCTGCCCCCCTTCTTCCTGCCTCAGTAGCTTCCCTACTCTTCTGCTTTTTTTGGCTTCATGTCTGAGAATCTAAGCAGTCCGCACTCTGGCCAAGAGAAGGGACCTCGCCATGTCAGCCAAAGATACAGGGTCTGCAGTATGGCCTTCTTGGTGGCGTTTGCATCATGAACCATAGGGCTGGCTTTCAGAGGTGATGGTTAGGTTTGGGGGGTCAGAGTGAGGGGTTGCATCCCCTTCCCTAAGTTTATCCGTCATTCTCGTTCTTGTCTCTGTGGTTCTTCTCTTCTCTCTGGTGCGGGTGGTGGTGAAGAAGGCTCTCTGGTCCTTTCAGAACAATCACGAAGCCTGGGGTAATCTCCCTATGCTGCCCATCCGTTATCTGGGAACCAGTCCCTTCCTTGGGACAAGCAGAGTCGAAAGGGAATGTTCCTTGGGAAGAGGCCCAGCACCCATCTCAAGCCTCTGGGATTCAACCTCTTGGTTCAGCCAGCACTGGCCCTTTCTCTATTTGCCATGTTCATATGTCTAACACCTGGGTCAGCAGAACAGCTGGAGGGAGCTGGCCTGGAATAGTTCCCTTCGTCTTTCCCCTGCTCTCAATCCTGGGAACCAAGAGGGGATTTTTAAGGAGAGGGGCTGGTCAGCTCATACTCAGACAATCCCCAAATTTCAAGGAATCGACAGACGAAGGAAGGGACAACTGATTTCCCATCCTTATGAGAAAGACCAGGACTCAAAAGGGAAATTAATATGTGGAACACCCTTTCAACCATCCCACCCAAGCTCTGGACCCTCTTTTGGATGGGGTGGTGTTTCTCTCATAAATTTCTGACTTACCTTTCTTTCCATCCATTAATAATAATAATAGTAATCATATTTCTTATCATTCACTCTGTTAGGCTCTGTATCAAGGACTCCACTTTACTAACTTTCCCAACAAAACTACGAAGTAATTTTTATTTATTTATTTGTTCATTCATTCATTTTATTTTTTTATTTTTGAGAGAGAGAGAACATGAGTTGGGGGAGGGACAGAGGGAGAAGCAGACTCCCTGCTGAACAGGGAGCCTGATGTGAGATTTGATCCCAGGACCCTGGATCATGACCTGAGCCGAAGGCAGATGCTTAACCAACTGAGCCACCCAGGCACCCATAATTTTTATTATTAACATATTACTGTTTCTATTTTACACGTAAAGAAAATGAGGTTCAGAGCACAAGACCCTACAACAAGTAAGTGTCTTGTACCTAGGTGTCTTTTGCTGTAAGGGTTACACTCTTTACCACTACCCCATGCTGCCTGTCTGCCAACTGTCCATTGATCATAGAACAGTATAGATGAGTGAGACTCTACAGATAGAATGCCTTGCTTGGGATTCAAATTCCACCACTTGCTAGCTGTGTCACCATGTGCAAGTTATCCAGTTCCTGCGTCTTAATCTATAAAGTAGGAATGGTACTAGATCTACTTCTCAAGATCAAGTGAGGTAATCTGAGTAAAGTCCTTAGTTTAGAGGCTGGCACATAATAAACACTCATCAAATATTGACCATTGTTATTATTCTATCCTTTCATTCAGATATATGTCAGTTCATCCATCAATCCATTTTTCATTGATCTATGCATCCCCCTGCTTCTGGTGGTTCTGATTATTCCCTGTTGTCCCACCCTCGTCCATGCTCTCACTCTTCTCTACCCTGCTCTGTTTTCTGGAAGGCTGACCTCTCTAGACTGAATTACTCAGGATCCTTGCCCTCCAGCTTCTGTTTGAGTTTGGTCCACAGGAGGCAGCAGCAGGAGACCAGTGGGTGATAGGAGAGAGAGGTTAAGTCCCCAAATCCTTCATCTTGCTGCAGTCCTGGATACGAATAATTTTCTTTTTGGTAGTTGTTTTCAAAGACAGTTCTTCAGACAGCAGCAGCAGCAGCAGCATCACCTGGGAGCTTGTCAGTTTATTGATATTGGTGCCCTCATCCAGGAACTGTATTAGCTCAGCACCTGGGAGTGATGTTAATAGTCTGTTGGGTTGGTTACTGGAAGTGTAGACTCAACAGTGGCCTTTGATCAATGAGGTTGAGATGTTAGAACCTCACCGACATATTGTAGAACAATGCTTCTTAAACTTTAATGCACATGTGATTTACATGGGAGTCTTGTTAAACTCTAGATTCTGATTCACTAGGTCTGGGGTGAAACCCAAGATGTTGCATTTCTAACAAACTTCTAAGTGATGCTGATGCTACTGGTTCTCAGACTATACGAGGAGCAAAGTAGAGGAAGGAGTGCAAAGTTGAGAGAGATGGGAATGTTGGAGTGTACCTGTGATGTGCAACCACTAACTGTACACCTCTGAAGGGCCCAAAAAGATGCTTACTTCTCCAAGGCAACAAGAAAAGTATTAATGAGGGGAACAGTAGCTTTTTTGAAAAGCACTGTAGTGGCTTCTTTAGGAGGCAAGAGATGGGGATAGGAGATGCCTTCTTGGGACTGGGCAATCAAGGGGGATAATGGAATCCATGAATGGTAGAGGTCAGATGTTGGCACCTAACCATGAGCAATAAGGTAAATGAGATTACTGTATAAACTGTAGGGACAAGTGGTAATTTATGTGCTTTGCCCACAGGGATCTGTAGTGTTATCTGATCATAGTGTTCCTAGCAATGAAATAGATGGACAGCTTACTGATGTGCTACTTGACCTGTGTAAGTGGAAACATCCAGCCCTGGTGGGCAGAAATTTGATCCAAATTGTATTGTACAGTCTTTTACCCAGTTCCTCTACTTAAGTCATTTTCCTAGACTCAAAGCCCTTTGGTCAGGTGGGAGGTGGGAGGGTGTGAGTCTCTTTCATGGGTGGATTCTATAAATCTTTCTCCCAGTTAGTGGTTTTCCTAGTGCATCTCCAACAGCATCTGCATCACCTAAGAACTTGCCAGAAATGCAAATTATTGGGCTCTGCCCCAGCTTCACTGGATCAGAAACTCTGCAAGTGGTCCAGCAATCTATACCTTAACAAGCCTTTCTTGTGATTCTGATGTATGCTAAAATTTGAGAATGACTACTCCAAGCCTTCTCTACAGAGAGATCTGTAGCCATTTGCTAGGGTGAGTCTGAATGTGGAACAGGACATACTCAGACCTTTGGGGCGTTATTAGCTACAGTCTGTCTTATGTTAATACTAGTCTCGGGGACCCAAAATCCCACTGTGGTCCACCAGTCAGAGTAAGGCTTAATAGAGGTCAAGTGATAGAAGGATCTTGATCCAGATCCATCTCACAGTGGGTCTGTAATACCTGTTCACTGGTTATTTCTCTAGGTTCAGAATGTATAGTGGGAATAGGTATACTCAGTCATTATCCAAATCACACTGGTTCCTTGACCATGGAGTAAGGAAAATTATGGTAGGAAGGGCCAAGTGGAAGTCCTTTGAACTGTGCTTGCCCTACCACATTCCCTGCTACAACAGGAAACAAAATTAATGCTACATTCCTAGAGAAATCGCATAGATTAGAGCACCTTCAAAGATTTAAAAGATGTCATAGCCCTTGGCACTGGGCAATCTTATTTCAAGGGGAATAATGGAACCCGTGAGGGCTAATAATCTAACACATGCCTTTTTTCTATATTAGTCAATTAAAGACCATTGAAATCGGTTTCTTTTTTCTTTTCTTTCTTTCCTTTTTTTTTTTTGAGAGAGTGTGAGTGTACAGAGTTGGGAGAATGAGGTGGGGAGGGACAGAGGGAAAATAGAGAATCTCAAGCAGGCTCCATACCAACTGTGGAACCCAATTTGGGGATAGATCTCATGACCCTGAGATCATGACCTAAGCCAAAATCAAGAGTCGGATGCTTAGCTTACTGAGCCACCCAGGTGCCCCAGAAATCAGTTTCTTTTCAATTGGAATGACAGGTGTACACTGTCACTGTCTTACCACAGGGATATATCAATGTTCCTGCTCTTTGTCATAAGATAATCTTGACATCCCACAGAATATCAACTGACGACATTATGTTTACTGCCTCTCGTGCACAAGAAATAGTAATCACACTCCTAAAGACAATATTATACCATATGTTAATTAACTAGAATTTAAATAAAAATTTGAAGAAAAAAAGAGCAATCACCCTAAATGCCTTAGTAAGACCCATATATGCCAGAGAGAGCGAGAGAAAGAAATTCTACAAAAATCCAGGACCCTGACACATAGGTGAAATTTTTAGGCCATTGTGGGTGGAAAGAAACTGAAAAATGGTGGTCTGTGGTGTGTTGCACCTTCACCATGAAGAAAGAGACACAATACTTAAAGGAAGTTTGGATTTTGGAGGCAACATATACCGTATTTAGGTGTACTGTTGCAAAATATTTATTGGATATGACGTGAAGCTATGGTTTTGAATGAGGCCCAGAGCAAGGAAGGGCTGGGCAGCAAGTCCATTTCCAGGAAAGTTGCCCTGCTCCTTGGGTCTTATGGCTCATAAATCCAATGAACTTCAGCTTTTCTGTGGCAGAAAAGGTTGCTATAGGAACCTCAATGGGAGAATTACACCTTAGGGTGTTGGAGTAAGGCCACACCTCTTCTACTAACAAGTATTTTCTATTTGAAAAGCAGCTCCTGATTTGCCACTGGGCCCTGGTCTAAAACTCAGACTCTAGTTCACCCAGTGACAATGTGGCCCAAGGGTGTTACCGATAGCAAATGATATAGT